TTTGCGACGGGATGGGAGGATTTGCCGGGATGGGCGGGGGCTGGCGGCTGAGTCTCTTCTCTGAAGAGAAAGTTGGTGATTTTGGGGACGTGATATCGTAAGTCGACAAACGACGCGAGTCAACATGGTCAGGAACTGTAGGCGCTGACACCGACGGAGGAGAGGCAGACCTATCAGTTGCCGCAGCATTCAGAGACAAGTTTTTAGCATGCACGGAAAGCTCATCATCTGACTCCTCTCCCGGATCGCCGGATGTGGAGTTCTTCGAGAGAGGAACTGGACGAGCTATTTAAGGAAGGTTAGTATCGGCGAAGCGACTATGATAGGATGAGATAGTTTAACTTACGTTCAGGCACCGGTGCAGGGGACAAGGGCTGACCCTGGGGGATAGGAGGAGGAACAGGCCGGGTTTCCAAAGGCGGAAGAGGAGGTGCAGGACGCTCTACATAACATACTTCGTGAGTTTGGGGAATCGTAGAACATGGGATTGGAAACCGGTCTTCATACCTTGAGGTGCAGGTGCCCTGTCTGAAGAAACAGGACGAGGAGGCTCTTCTGAAACAACCTCCTCGACGTCAGGAAGTTCTTCTGCAGGATGCTGTTCCGCCAAAGGAGTAGTCGGAACCTCTTCTTCCTCTTTTTCCACAGTTGGAGGTGCTGCCGGTTTAGTAGTATTCATCCCCGGAAGAGCCATAACAGGAACCGGGGGTGCAGCAGCTGGCGAGGTCGGCTCCGCATCTCTATCCTTTCTCTCGGATTCCGTAGTCGCCTTTGGCTTACGAGGGGCTGCACCAGGAAGAGGCATACCGCCAGGAGGGCCAAAGAAGCCCATCATGCCCATTCCACCACTCATTTTTGCCATCCTTTCACGAAGTTCCATTCTGCGCTTGACCTCTGGGTCGATCTCTTCTTCTTCTCCTTCCTCTTCCCCCTCTTCTTCGTTTTCGTCGCGCCTGTTCTCACTTTCTTCTCCCTTCTGTTCCTGAGGTTGAGCCACATGACGAGATTCAGCACGGGCACGCTCGTCGTAATCTTCTTTGCTTGTAGAGGTCTCCTCCGCATCTTCAATATCAGCGGCAGCGGAGTCGTCAGCGTCGTTGGCATCACTCGCCGGCTCGCGTGCAGGTGGTGGAGACATGGGTGGTTGTGGCGCAGATAAGGCATCGGGCTTAACAGTGTCAACACTAGTATCCCGCGCAGATTCCATCGAGTCTGGCCTCTCAGCACTTGACTCCTCTGCTGGGGCCACTCCCTCATACGACTCTGCGCGCTTCTTCGGAGGGGGCTTCTTCGGCTTTTCTTTCTTCTGGGCAGCTTCAGCGTGGCGTGCAGCTTGTTCCATTTGTTGCTTCTGCAAAAGAGCTATCCGCTCCTTCAGAGATGTCGGCTTAGGCTGGTCTTCCACCGTACTCTCGGTGGTTTCACTCGGCGCAGGTCGACTTTCAGAAGCGGGCGGCTCACGCGAAACATTATCTTGGACGTCTGGATCCTCTTCTCTCTTGTAGACCTTGGGAGGAGCCTCCCTCGGTGGGGGTACATAGGCATTCTTGCTAGGTGGTGGGGCAACAAACGGCTTCTTGATGAACGTATTAGAGCCCCCGGAGCTCCAACCCCCCGGCTTGAAAGGTGTAATCGGAGGCGCCGCTGGTTTATTAAACGCTGCGATACGATCTCTGAATGAGGACGAGGCAGGCTTCTCGGCAACCGCAGGTGGCGGAGGCTTCGGCGAAGCTTTTGGAGCTGGCTCTTTCGCTTCGGGTGAAGACGGCTGGTAAGCTGGAGCAGGGACCGGCTTAGGCGGGGACACAACCTCACTGCGTGAAGGTTCTGAAGCAGGAGGAGGCGATTGAGGAGGGTTGGGGATACTCCTTGGCTCATCGGCAGGGACCTCCTCTACTTCTGGCTCGGGCGGGGGATGACTCTCAGCCGGAGTCTCGACTGCAGTAGGCGCAGGTGCAGGCGGAGGGGCAACATCGGCCTCCTTCTTTGGCCTACTTGGGCGCGTCGGTCGCGGAGGAGCGGGGGGCTCATACTTTTCCACAAAATTCTTTGGGAAGATGCCTTCTACCTTGCTACCCGACTCGTTTGTGTATTCGCCATAGTACCACTCTGCATCTTCCACCGCAGTGACGGTGATAATTTGGCCGATTGAAAAGGTCAGGTCATCCTCATGGCTCGACGAATACTCGAAGACCGCTTTGACCGTAAATGGTGGGCTGGACATTTGGCAAGCCGGGGCCCTATTGCGGAGATGTGGGACAATATGTAAATACTAAGTGTTCGACAGATGGGCATTAATCACACCGACACTGGATATTTGTGTTTAGTGAAGCACCAACTTATGCAACCTTCATGCAAAGGGGCATATGTAGAGGTGCTTCACGGGGAATAGGAGATTAAAGGAAACTAGTACTAACCAAAATATGTCAGCCTGGTTGACGTACGTCACAGCATAACCTGGGGCTGGCAATGCCCTCCCAAAGGTTGCGGTTCAATAGATATCACTTACTGAAGTTAGAAATATCAATTCCTGCGGGATGTGACTTCAGGACAAATGCCAAGGAGGGGAAGAAACAAAGGGATGGGACATGCGAGAGGGAAGTGAAAGGGAACGAGGAGACACGGAGGTGTAAGGAACACAGACAACCGTCGTCACCTTTTGGCGGGACAAGTTGCTCCACCACGGGGCGATCAGCGGCTAATAATATTCAAAGACCTGCCACACTACGACTCACTAACTGTCCAAATGTCAATGATTTTGGAGATTAGGTGTGTGGAGGGGTAAAGAATCCTTATGGTCGCTAACGTGGCGGTCAGATTATGCCTCATCTGGCACTAATTTTTTTTTGTTGGTACCTATCAATCTACCAGTCAAACGATCGCCTTTCCTTTAAAGGGGGGAATTCATCCTAGGCAGTGGCATCCGTCGTCATGGGCTTGATTTGAATCTGGGGTTTGCCTCCCGACCCGGAAGCACCACCTCACTTTCACAACCGTCCTCATGTCCAACCATTTTTCTTTCCCTCCACATCACTGACACAATTATCTTACAAAATGTCCGCCAGTCGGTCCCACTTGAAGACTTCCCTTCCGTCGGCTCATGCTGCTTCCACACAGGCTCCGTCTAGTATGCGCCGTGCGCCACCAAAGTCCAATATGTCGCGCCAGCAAAAAGGACCGCCCGCGAACAAGCCAAACACAGATCCACGTCACCTCGCCATAGCTTTACATCATGCGCACCGTATTCAGGCTCAAAAGGATACGGAATCTCTTATCTTGGATCGCATTCTTGAGCTCGTCATGTTTCCGTGTTCGCCTTTAGCAGATCCTGCTTCTCCGTCACCCGAAGATGCCCAGGCTTTCAAATCAGCTTTGATACCCTTCCAGCCAGCGGACTACGATAATCTGATCCAGGAGCGGAATATTGAGGGTCTCTGTGGATACGGTCTATGTCCTCGCGAGCACCGTAAGGACGACTCTCGTGGGGCTTATCGCATAACGTGGGGTGCTAAAGGGAGTGGCCCTGGTGGCCGGGGACGGGATATGAACATAGTTCCTCGCGAGAAGCTTGAGATGTGGTGTTCGGATGAGTGCGCCGAAAGAGCCTTGTACATCCGGGTACAGTTAGCCGAGGAGCCAGTATGGGAGAGGCGTGCCGATGACGCCCGGGGCAAGAATCTCCTCTTGCTTGAGGAAGGAAGGGCAACGACACGGGGAGGGAAAAGCAAGGCGAGTAGCTCTGCCACGGTAAGGGAGGTTACTGGTCAATTGGACAATCTGCACATGAGCAGAACCCCAGGTTCGAGCAACCTAGCAGGTGACATGTCCAAACTCTCGGTTCATGACAGTGCTCACTCCCATGAACTCGCCTTGGAACGCGGAGATTCAAACCCGGCATTACGGGCCGGGCGAGTAGATGTTCAGATCCAGGAGAAGGATAACCTAGCGTATGAGCACGTCACAGCACCGGAGATGCGCCCAGGGGACGACAAAGGAGGCTCTATTGAAGGTTACGTGCCTCAGGAATTTTAAGAAAGGAATTGGAGCATTCTCCAGCATATACCATCACAATTCTGACTTACACAGATGGAGCGTTCACAGTTGATGATACCCAGGCTGTCAAGTAGATATACTAGGCAAATGAAGTCCACTGTTTTAGTGAAGACGCCAGCGTTTCTGAGCATGATTCTCGCTATTTTCATACGGTCAAGTGCCAGACATTGTCAAAGTAACGGACGAGCTTCCTAGACTCAAAAGGCTCCTACCTAGTTAAACACGGGCATAAGGATATGCCTTTACCTGTACTGGTTCCTGGATTGGCGTTCCGTGCATCTATATGCCGTGTCTAGAAATACTAGTACGTATTACTAATACTGCGAACTATTAACTAACTAACTAGTTAAATACTCCGTAAATGCGGAACCTACTCCGTCTTACACCAATGACTCAACTGTGGTAGACTCAGTTACTTCCTACTTTTAAAGTCGTAAACGTAAGCGGTTGAATTAAGATTAATATTCTGTAAACTTAGAACGCCGAACTCCGGTTTAGTCACGAGTCACGACGTCATTTATTAATATCGGGGGTAATGTATCAAGGAGCTGCTAATCTCCACCAAGCCCGGGGTCGTAGCTTTGACTCATATATGTACAAATAAAGCTGTCGTGGAACTTGTTAGTATACTGGCGGGCGTAAACAACCGGACTTAATGCTTACTCCGCTAAGTCCAGATAGTAATCCCGCTACAAGTTGACGCAAACCATAGCCTACATTTGTCATCACCTGAGGTACTCGAATGCCCTATCATGTTCAGACGATAACTGCGCTGGTGGACCAGAGTGGGGGACAGATAATGGGGTGAAGGAGGGGTACATCCCGTTCTACTCAATACTATATAAAGACAGACGTTCCTCGCTCAGTATCTGTTGCTATTGTAAACCTAAGTTTGAGATAATAAACCAAACCGAGTAACTTCAATAATACTACGGGCAACTGCAACCATGGTGAAAGTACTCTTGACTGGTATGCCATCCAACCCTATCGGGAGCCCAATTCTGACGTACATCTCTAGGTGGCAGCGGATTCATCGCAGCTCATATCATTGATATCTTGCTGCAGCGCGGGTGAGTGTTATAATCTCGACTGTCATCGCCTGGGGTGAATCGCGCTGATTCTGACTGTCCCTGGTTAGATATGAGACAGTAGTGACTGTTAGATCCGAAGAAAAGGGACAAAAAATCCTCAATGCTCACCCCAATACCCCGAAGGAGAAACTTTCATATGTTATTGTCAAGGACGTCGCAGAAGAAGGCGCATTCGACGAAGTGAGTTCTAATAACTCATCCTTTCGCACCTCCCAGTAATAGTAATACTAAACCAACCTACCGTTCAGGCCGTCAAATCAAACCCACCCTTCGACTATGTCCTCCATACTGCTTCTCCCTTCCATTACAACGTTTCAGACCCAGTGAAGGACTTCCTGGACCCGGCAATCAAAGGAACAACGGGTATCTTGAAGGCAGTCAAAGCCTACGCCCCGACAGTGAAACGTGTTGTGGTCACGTCCTCTTTTGCTGCAATCGTCAATGTCAAGGAACATCCGAAGGTCTACAGTGAGGAGAACTGGAATCCTGTGACTTGGGAGGAAGCAATGGAGCCTTCCCAAACCTACCGAGCGAGCAAGGTAAGACAACACTACTATATAGTTTTTAAAACTACATATGCTGATAAGGATACGTGAAGACATTTGCCGAGAAGGCCGCCTGGGATTTCGTTGAGAAGGAGAAGCCAAACTTTGACATTGCGACGATAAATCCTCCTCTGGTTTTGGGGCCTGTTGTGCCATATCTGAACTCCCTAGATGCCGTCAATACTTCGAACAGCCGTATTAGCAACTTGGTCCGGGGTAACAACAAGGACGGGCTTCTCCCAACTGGAACATTCCTTTGGGTAGATGTTCACGACGTTGCATTGGCCCACGTGAGAGCAATTGAGGTTTCAGAAGCAGGTGGACAAAGATTTTTCCTTGTCTCTGGCTTGTATACGAACAAAGATCTTGCAGATATTATCCGTGAAACATATCCTCAACTCGAGGAAAAGCTGCCTCCTAAGGATTCTGCCAGTGATATGCCAACCAACGTCTATGGCTATAATAACAAGAAGTCGATTGAAGTACTAGGCATCCAGTACCGATCATTGAAGGAGTCGGTTGCCGATACAGTCAAATCATTGTTGGAAGTTGGCGCATAATCCCTACAAACTATAGAGCTTGTCGGAATGTTTCAAATACAGTGATATGACCTAATTATATGCAAGGCCCAGGCAGCCTACTGAATGCCCTAATAAACTCTATAAAAAAGTAGCAATAGGTTGGAGCAGCCGCCCATCGAGAAGGCGAGTTCATATCTTATAGTGAATGTAAATAGACCACAATCTTCCTAGACAGAATCATACTTATGATTATAGATTAAGTAGGCCAGACCTGCCGCTTCTAACACAATGCGTCGATATATGAGTGAATTGAAGGAGTAAAGAAAAGGCTTGAACGGGGCAAGGGTGTCACGTGTTTTGAGCTCTTTTCCTCCTTTTGTTGGTAGCTGCCATGGTTCTAGTTCTCTTTGATCATAAGCATCAAAGTTTGCTTCTTATAAACAAATTACAAGAAGTATACGTCAGGACTTGCCTTCTAGTAAGGGCAGCGTAGAGTAAGAACAAGGAACAATCTATTCGGCAAAGGAGCATATAGAATTGCACTTGGTGCTGCTGCGGTTGACCGGACCTTATAGGCTTGGCACGCGGCTAGTCAACGCGACCAACTTTTCTTCTCCAGCATGCTCCGGAGGAAGAGCCACCAAGACGTCGCAATTGCCCATTGAACGCCATGGCAACAGCCAGGCTATCTCCCACAGCAAATTTGCTGCGGAAGTCTCGTCTTTTCGCGCTTCCACAAGCATTGAAACCACCTCAGGATCCGCCAACCTCAAAGGTCGTCTTCGAGTCCGACACCGCAACCCTTCCTCATCCTACCCGAGCGTCCATCGTTACCCCAGCATCATCACTAGCAAGAGGAGATTGGGGTCTCAAGAGATCGTTGCCTGCGAAATCTACCTCTGCTAAATCATCCAGGCCTGTTGTGAGGGTGAACGCTCTCGACACATTCGAACATGTTACCGACTTCGAGTCTGCGGCCGACCATACGGTGACCCTTGAGAAATTCCAGGAACTCCATATGCCTCTTTCTTTACCTTCGAAAGTCAATTATGCAACTAGTATTGTTCCTAGGCATCAGAGTCCCTTCGAGTCGTATGTGGACAACACAGACACTAGCAAAGGTCTCGAGGAGACCGGCGCCAAACAATTTAGGCACTCCGGGCCTTGGCTGGCTGGACAGACGGAAGCCGAATTCAGTGCCTACCTGAAGAAAGTGCGGAGCAATAAGCCAGAGCTTCTGCAAAAACTTCGCCAACTCTTCTCCGAAAAGCGAACTGCTGAGCGGAGAAAGCAAGCTCAAGATAACGGAGAGGACTTGGAGGCGCTTGAGCCTGTAAAGGTTACGGAAGAGGAGTTCCAGACCTACCTCAAGTCACTACGTACAGATCCTTTCTCCCTTGGCCCCGTGGTCTTTGAGCTATTGGACCTGCCCTCTCCTCCAGCCGTACCGAGCGACCGAATTGGCCACAAATACTACCAATCACCCGGAACTAAGCTGTCTTCGGCAGAATACGCTGTATCCGGTCCTCCGAAGACACACCCTTCTGCCGGACTGTCATACACACGGTCGCATGCTTTGATCTACAATCACCCCAAGTTTGGTCCTCAGGCATATCAGCGTCCAGTGGAGGCCCGTATCTTGCGACCAAAGGGCAGGTTCAAGGGCAGAACCTCCAAGGCCATTGCGGGTGTTGGCGGTATTGCTGTGGAAGACTTAAATGCCATGACTTTTGTGGAACAGGGCTCTCCTCCGGGCCTGGCTTACTTTGATGTATCTATCCCCGGTGGCGCCAAGTACTGGGTCACTCCCATTCGGGCTTCGGTTGATTCGGAGGGTAGAATTGGCTTGGCATCTTATAGAGCAAGTGCCACTGCTAAAGCTCCCTACAGCATTGAGGATTATAAGAAGCCCTCTCTGACAACCATTTCCGATGTTGCTCGTGGTGATCAGCGTGTCGTCCCGAGACTGGACAGGCACAAGCCACGTTTTAGGCCTTCGGATGAACCACAGAATACAACCGAGGACATCGCTAAAAACCTGATGAAGACTCTTAGCTCCTCATGAGAGAGTACCCCAACTATTTTCAATTTTTTTGCATGGTTTTGGGCAGAGAGAACAGTTGGTTGTACGATTAGACCATTGGACGATAAATGTAAAACTATTTCTGTGCCTCTTTGATTTTTGTTATAAAGCATGTTATTAGTATTATATTATTCTTGTGAAAATTTGAATTCTCAATAAACTCTTAAATCAATTCTTACATCCTTGAATTGTAGCACGACGATCTATACTCCACAGGTTGCCATTGTTTTACTATTCAGTCACCCACCATTGCACGGGCTGGCCATCATGTAAGGGCTTTGTGCATCATAAAGTAAGACGACGTCTCATGATACATTGACATGTGATCTTTAGGAATGTCGGGCACCAAAATCCTCGCAACTGCGTGTCTGTAAGTATCCTTAATGAAATGTAAGGCTGACAAAAGGTGTGGACGAAGGGAAACGAGCACAGTCGGCTCCGTACTTATCATGAAAGAACAACTAGCACAGAAGAAAACTCCAGCGGGGGCAATACAGTATATATAGATAGATGCAACAAGTATAGGTAGACCTGGGTATACCCGATGGTATATCTGATATTAAAGAATGGAGATATTTGACGATATACAGTCGCAACAATATCCGAACTACTACTGCATTAATAAGGCGCACCGGCACGCAAGCCAAGAGGATGCCCCAGGCCAGAACAGGCTTGGCCCGTGCATCATCCGGGAGGCCCTCAAACCGCACCTCCCACATCATTCACGCCGCCCTTCAACTGCTCTATATCTTATGCTCAACTCGTGTCATCGTACATGCCCTAGAGGTTGACTTCAAATGTCCACCCTGGGGTGTGCTACGCAAATATGGCGCAAGCAGGTCCTATTACGGACGTCACTCAACGACTCTTCGTTGAGTTGAAGTCTAAGAATGAAGAAACGCGGGCGAGAGCTGCTTATGAGCTTTACGATAATGTCCTTGCTATCTCACGAGGTGACACCTGACTCCTGGCCGTATCTGGGGGGATGCTAATACCATTATTCTCACCATAGATTGGCCTCCAGAGAAATTTCTTGAATTTTATAATGCTGTCAGCCAGCGCATTGCACAACTTGTCGTCACAGGCAGCGACGCACATGAAAGAATCGGTGGCCTACTAGCGCTAGATCGCCTGATTGATTTCGATGGAGTAGACGCTGCCCAGAAGACTACCCGATTTGCCAGTTATCTGCGAAGCGCTCTGCGCAGCAACGATAATGGAGTGTTGGTATACGCTGCCAAAGCTCTAGGCCGTTTGGCTAAACCGGGCGGAGCTCTTACTGCGGAGCTTGTTGAGAGTGAAATACAATCGGCCTTAGAGTGGCTTCAGTCTGAAAGACAAGAGAGTCGACGAGTTGCTGCCGTACTCGTTATCCGTGAACTTGCCAAAGGGTCGCCAACACTTCTGTACGGCTTTGTCCCCCAAATCTTCGAGCTCATCTGGGTTGCGCTTAGGGATCCGAAAGTGGTCATCCGAGAAACAGCCTCCGAGGCAGTCAGGGAATGCTTCGAGATTATCGCTGCAAGAGACTCTCAGGTTCGAAAGTCGTGGTTCGCACGGATTTATGAAGAGGCACTCCAGGGCTTGAAGTCTAACAATGTAGATTGGATTCACGGGTCACTACTGGTCCTCAAAGAGCTCCTTCTCAAGGGTGCAATGTTTATGAATGAACATTACAGGAATGCTTGTGAGATTGTGCTTCGTCTCAAAGATCATCGCGACCAAAAGATTCGCGCACAGGTCGTTTTGACAATCCCTATTCTTGCCTGCTATGCCCCAGTTGACTTTACAGAGACGTATCTTCATAGATTTATGGTCTACCTTCAAGCACAGCTGAAGAGGGACAAGGAGCGCAATGAGGCATTCATTGCAATAGGAAAGATTGCCAACGCTGTCGGTGTGGCCATTGCGCAATACCTCGATGGGATCATCGTTTATATCAGGGAGGGCCTGGCCATGAAAGCAAGAAACCGTGCCGGTGTTAATGAAGCGCCAATGTTCGAATGCATCAGCATGTTGTCATTGGCTGTAGGGCCGGCGCTTAACAACTACATGGAATCGTTGCTAGACCCAATCTTTGCGTGCGGGCTAAGCGAATCATTAACTCAAGCGCTTTTTGATATGGCACACTTTATCCCACAAATCAAGCCTACTATCCAAGAAAAGCTTTTGGATATGCTGAGTTTGATTCTTAAGGGAGCCCCGTTCCGGCCTTTGGGTTGCCCAGAGAGCCGACTGCCCCCTATCCCATCATTTGCGAAAGACTTCGCCCCGCAAGAGCTGCATTCAGATGCAGAGATAGCACTAGCACTTCATACTCTGGGAAGCTTCGATTTCTCTGGCCATATTCTTAACGAGTTTGTTCGCGATGTCGCCATCAACTATGTCGAGAATGACAACTCTGAAATTCGGAAAGCTTCGGCACTTACATGTTGTCAACTATTTGTCCACGATCCAATCATCAATCAGACTAGTAGTCACTCGATACAGGTCGTTAGTGAAGTCATTGACAAGCTTCTGACGGTTGGTGTCGGCGATTCTGACTCAGAGATTCGACGCACGGTTTTGTGGTCCTTGGATCGCAAATTCGACCGCCATCTTGCACGGCCAGAGAATATTCGTTGTTTGTTCCTTGCGGTTAATGATGAAGTCTTTTCTGTCAGAGAAGCTGCCATCTGCATCATTGGACGCCTCTCAAGTGTCAATCCGGCCTACGTATTCCCGCCTCTTCGAAAACTACTAGTCAATCTTCTGACAGGGCTTGGATTTGCCAGCACTGCTCGCCAAAAAGAAGAGAGTGCTCAGCTCATCAGCTTGTTTGTTTCAAATGCGACAAAACTTATCAGGTCATATGTTGACCCTATGGTGACCACCTTGCTCCCAAAAGCCACCGACACCAACCCTGGTGTCGCTTCGACTACTTTGAAAGCTATCGGTGAACTTGCAAATGTCGGGGGAGGCGAGATGAAGTTGTACCTACCACAGCTGATGCCTGTCATCTTGGATTCGTTGCAGGACCTTTCTTCTCATGCCAAGCGGGAGGCAGCCTTGCGTACGCTGGGTCAGCTAGCCAGCAACTCTGGATACGTTATCGACCCGTATCTTGAATATCCCCATCTCCTTGCTGTGCTTATCAATATAATCAAGACGGAACAGACAGGGTCTCTGCGAAAAGAGACAATCAAATTGCTGGGTATTCTTGGCGCTTTGGATCCGTACAAGTACCAGCAGATCAGTGAAACTGCACCAGATATTCACCATATCAATGAAGTTCAAACTGTCTCCGACGTCGCTTTGATTATGCAAGGACTCACACCTTCTAATGAAGAGTACTACCCGACAGTGGTCATCAACACCTTGATGCAGAATATACTTCGCGAAAACTCCCTCGCCCAATACCATTCAGCGGTTATTGATGCTATCGTCACTATCTTCAAAACATTAGGATTGAAGTGCGTGCCATTTTTGGGGCAAATAATCCCTGGCTTTATAGCCGTAATAAGAGGATCACCCCCTAGCCGTTTGGAGTCGTATTTTAACCAGATGGCGATATTGGTCAATATTGTAAGGCAGCACATTCGTGCCTTCCTCCCTGAGATTATTGAAGTTGTTCGCGATTTCTGGGACGCATCATATCAAGTTCAAGCCACGATACTATTGCTTGTGGAGGCCATTGCCAAGTCTTTAGAAGGTGAATTCAAGAAATACATGGCGGGCCTCATTCCCATGATGTTAGATACCCTCGAGAAGGACAACACATCACGTCGACAGCCTTCAGAAAGGATACTCCACACCTTCCTAATTTTTGGCACTAGTGGGGAGGAGTACATGCATTTAATTGTTCCGTCTATTGTGCGCCTTTTCGATAGAACTCAAAATCCACAGAGCATTCGGAAAACCGCTATCGATAGTCTTACGAAACTCTCACGTCAAGTGAATGTGTCGGACTTTGCGTCTTTGATGGTCCATTCCTTGTCCCGCGTTGTTGCGGGCAACGATCGAATGTTGCGACAGGCCGCCATGGACTGTATTTGTGCTCTCATTTTCCAGTTGGGCCAGGATTTCAGTCACTACATCCATCTTCTGAACAAGGTTCTGAAGCGTCACCAGATCACTCATGTCAATTATCATATTCTAGTGACGAAATTACAGAAAGGAGACCCACTTCCGCAGGATCTTAACCCTGATGAGAATTATGCAGCCCTAGCGGATGATACTAACTTTGCCGAGATTGGACAGAAGAAGATGGTTGTCAACCAGCAGCACTTGAAGAATGCTTGGGATGCATCTCAAAAGTCGACGCGTGAGGACTGGCAGGAGTGGATACGACGATTCAGTGTGGAACTTTTGAAGGAGTCTCCTTCTCCAGCCCTGCGAGCATGCGCCAGTCTAGCTGGCATTTACCAGCCATTAGCAAAAGATCTGTTCAATGCTGCCTTCGTATCCTGCTGGACTGAGTTGTATGACCAATATCAGGAAGAGCTTGTTCGGTCGATCGAAAAGGCGCTCACGTCACCTAATATTCCTCCTGAAATTTTGCAGGTTTTGCTCAATCTCGCTGAGTTCATGGAGCACGATGACAAAGCTCTCCCCATCGACATCCGCACACTTGGCAAATACGCCGCCAAGTGTCACGCATTTGCTAAAGCTCTCCACTATAAAGAACTTGAGTTCGAACAGGATCAAAATTCGGGTGCAGTTGAGGCTTTGATTACTATCAACAACCAGCTTCAACAATCTGATGCTGCCATTGGTATTCTTCGGAAAGCCCAAGCTTATCGGGATGTAGAGCTTAAGGAAACCTGGTTTGAAAAGCTCCAGCGCTGGGAGGAGGCACTTGCTGCCTACAAGAGACGTGAGAAGATAGACCCAGATTCCTTTGGCGTCACAATGGGCAAAATGCGCTGTCTGCACGCCCTTGGCGAGTGGAAAATATTATCTGATCTCGCTCAGGAGAAGTGGAATCAGGCCTCGTTGGAACA